CCCACAGACAGATAAATCTCTTGCATACTACCTTCCCCCAGACTGTACATTACAAAATGAGCAGCAAAGCAAACATGGTTGTCCTGGCTGAAAATAAAAGCAAAAATAAATGTATAAGAGTGAGAGAGCTTAAACTTTCCGTTGCCCTCAGTAATTACCAGTTTTATAGGTTCGGCTCAGAATGATGCTATTTATCTGTCTGTGGGGTTATTTAACAGCATCATCTCTCTAATAAGAATGTAAGCTATGAAAAGTACCTTCTTCTTAAATGAGCAGCCTTTAGCTGAATAACTGAGTTTTTTTGAGGCTGTCATTTGCTGTTGTTTTACAGAGATTATTTCTCCAATACAGCCAGAATTCATGCTTGACACCCCCCAACTTAACTGTAGATTGTGGATTTCTTTACAAAAGCTGAAACTGTCTTTCTGTCAGCACATCAAGTACAGAATGCATTGAGTCTATTTTTCAGGATAAGTATAGAGAAATATAAAAATTCTTCTCAGTCTCATGTTAGTCTAGTACAGTTTCTCTTAATTAGCACTTACTTGTGAGTTCAGTACAGGATGAGGAAAAAGCTTTGGTTAATTATCACGCTAGAATGTTCTCCTTTTCCACAGGCTCTCTTAAGGGTAACTGCCTTTCTCCCAGTTTCTAGATATTTGTTTGTTTAAATGAGAAGAACTTCCTGATTGAGGACCAGGTAGGAGTCTTGTGTGTCTTGGAGAACTTGAAACACCAATTTAGCACAAGTTTTTAAGATGGCACAGAGCCTCAAGTGAAGATTTGGTTGCTTCCACAGATGAGAAGGCCAATTGGGGTTAGTTAAGGGATGTTTACAAAAAATAGCGCATTCCTTTGAACTACTTAAAACTGGAGGAGAAGGCACCACTGACCAGGAAACAATTTCACAAGGTGTTTAAGCTGATCTGAAACTATGGCTAGACCGTCCTTGTTCTCCCTTTTTCCACACCCTTGGCTACACGTTCCTATTCTGTCCTTTACACTGGCTCTAAGAGTCATGCACTTGGCCAGATGAGCAAGTGCTCCTGAAGAACCTGTGTTGTGTGGGCATGGGCTTTTTCTTTTTTTGGACAGGTTGGTGTGAAAACCTAGTGCTGTGACAAGGAAGGGGATAGCAGTGGATGGCTAGAGGTGGGAGAAGGGCAGGACAGTCTAGGTTGTCTTGAGGTGCTCTTGAAAGCATAGCCAGGTTTTTTGAGCACCACACTTGGTTCTGAACTAGATGGTACAGTATAACTTGGAACAATTAAAAGCTTCAAGACTCTCTTTTGTTTCAGATATAAAACTTAAATAGTTTATAAATGGAAGACCTATCTAAAACTGTGTCCATAGACTTAATTAGGAAAATGTTCCTAAATTTTAAGTAGAACACACAGTATTTTTAGACCTTGAAGCTACCTCCTCTTGAACAATATTCCCTGCTGATCTTAAGTATTTATGGCAACTGCCAGCTGTAGAAGAGGCTAATTCAGCTATAAATGCTGTTTTTTCCCTGTTTAGGGAAAAATATCCCATGCAGCTTGCTAGCAAAGCCAAATGGACACCTGAGTATCAGAATCTAACTCCTTATGCCTCCAGACTTAAGCACCTAACTCTAAAGTTATAGGTGTGATAAACGCCACAGATCAGAATAATAGTGCAGTGTTTCACACGTTGTAAAACGATCATAGTTTGGTGTCCAGTGCTTCCATTTGTAGGATAAATTGTGGAACTTAAATTACTTTTTTTGTTTTAATCTTTAAAAAAATTATTTAAAATGTAACAAATGACATATTTTTCATTAAACAGTCTTGGGTTTTTTTGTTGATTTTTGGTTTATTTTCTTTTTTTTCCAAAGGAAGACTTCGCCTCCCCCTTCCCTTGGGTATTGTTTTTTCTTGATACTCCCTTTCTATGGGTGGAGAACCATTCTCACAGTGACTTCTTGCCTAGTCTCCCACCCTGGACTTCCCTTCCTTCCTTACAGGCTTTTGTGCCATGCTGTGTTGTCCAGCCAGATCTGATTAAATGCGAGTTCCCTGAAGGCTGTTGATATTGCTATGAATTATCGGTAGGTTTTCAATGGAAACTACACTACAACTGGCTTGAACCTACAAATTAGAGTTGGAAACTCCTTGTGAACTCAGCATAGCCCCATGTAACTATTTCAGCTAGCTTAGCTTCACTCTGTACAAATGTTTGTTGCCCTGTTGTACAGTTCTAGCCAAAAACTTAAGGCTGTTCCTTCCCTGCATCCCCTGCTCAGTAATTCAAGTATCAGACTTGCCTCTCTCCTCTCCCTTTCTTTCCTGTGCACTTTTATTCTTGTCCATACATGTGAAGCTTTCACCTCTCTTTCATAGGTAAAGGCTTCAAATCTCTGCAGTCTCTTTTCCTGTTCAACTTTGTTACTACTGCTGTAGCTTTTGGGCTTAGCCAGAGTCTGTTTGCATGAGCATTACAGGAGAGGTGCCTCCCAGTCTTTTACAAGATCTTGGATGGGCCAGTTCCAGAGCACTTGAGTGATCAGATTGTTTTCCTTCTATAACGAAAGGGGAGAGAAACCAGATCAGAGGACTGCTGTTTCTTGCTACTACCGAGCAAAATGGCCCAGAACCTGTTGATCTTGTCAAGGACTAGTGACTAACTAGATAAATTTTAATGGAAAATAGAGAAACTCCAGTTCTAAGTCTGAAGCATGGGGAACTTCAAGGAACAGTCTTTTTTCACAGCTGAAGGTGCTTTAGAGAATATGAATAACAGCTGAGCGATTATGGTCCCTTAAGGTACAAAGTTGCCTAGATCACAAGAGCACCCTCAGAGGTTACTGCTGGTACTGGCTAGGTAAAAAGGAAGAGGAGGTATGTTGTGAAGAGGACCAAGTATGAGAGTTGATCTACAAGATTGCGTTTTAGCCTTGTAATCTTTAACTAGGTCTTGCTCACCCTTTCCTCCAGTTTGTAGAAGCTAATGAAACTGAACATGTGTGCATTCCTCAGAATTCCAGTGTACAGTCACCCTGCTTAAAAGTCATGGAGATGCTTGGCCCCTGTGATGGCAATACTGGCCTGTTATGTACATTAGTGTGTTTTTTTCTTTTTTTTTTTCTTACAGTGAAAACTTCAGGATTGTTTGCTTACATGTACTAAGTGTTGTCTCCTCTCCCTGTAAAATGAGCAATAGTAAAAATGCTACTACTTGTTTGGGGTAGGTTAACATTCAACTAAACACCATTTCACATAGTCTTCTACTCCACTGCTGGAAAGCAGTGCATCATTTAGATTGCAGTTGGAATTCTAACAGTGATGTAAAAAATGGTAATAGACAGTTAGTGTAAGATGTATAACCAACTTCCAGGTTCTTGTATTCTTTTACTATGGACTATACAAATGAATTTTGCAGTCGCTTTGGTGAAACTGTCCTCATCTGACCCCTTTGCTGCTTTTCCTCTTCTCCCCCTTCCTAATATCTCATGTTTGAAAGTAGAAACATATTTCTAAATTCCAACTCTAGTTTACACACTTTTAAAGTACTTTCTAAGCATTGCATAATGTAGTCAAATCAATTTGATTTAACAAAAAGGTGCATCCTTTTCTTTCAATGAAACAGATGTAAAAGGAACAAAGATGTACGAAGAAATATTAAATGTATAGGCACCAGAAAAAATGTGGATAACTGCTGGTTATGTAAAAGTTTTCTCGAACTAGTTTTTATAAAAAAGTTTCACATAAAGAAGACTAATGGGAAGAAAAGAAAGCTTAAATTAAATCTTGAGTTCCTTTCCTCTTTGTTTAATGAAAACTGAGTGCATAACACTTACTGTCAGGAATTCTCCCTAATTAAAAAATAAAAGCCCTCAAGCTTCTGCCTTAACTAAGTTACAGAGCGATTAATTATCTCCTGCTGCAGTTACACAACAAAAAAAACCCCCTTCATATTCAAACTGGTTGTTTGTTTTGCTGGTAGGCTTAAAAGACTGCTTGTGAAACGTAGGGTACTTTCTCTTTTTCATGTACACTCATGTAATAGCTCTCTTCCAGTTCCTAAAGAAATCTTCCTTGAAAAAAACACGTGACCCATGACTGTAAATCTGTCTACTTTGGTGGCAAGAAATCTGGAATTTTTGAGCCAAGAACTCTGTCATGTTTGCAAGTGAATTGCTGCAGTGTCTTGTAGTTTCTGAACTGGAGCACTTAGAGATCATACTTCAGCTGATAAAACCAAAATAGCCTGTCCTAATGAATTTAAACCCAGAAACAAAACCAAAGCAAAACACCTCAAAATCTTATTCTAAAAACTGAGCAATGTTGGCTAAAAAAGGTTGAGCTGGAAGGCTGAAAATGTAATTGAATGAAACAGAAAAATTCTTGGTGTTGAGTTGTAGCAATTTTCTTGGAAAACAGAGGTATGTCTAAGTAGTCAACTTCTGCAAAACACAAGCTGCTGTTTAAATTAACCATGAAAATGTGGTATTTCCACATGTGAAAATCTGGTGACCTGTTTGAGAAGATAGGATTGTATCAAATAGGTAATGGCTTTGCCACTCAATCATCCTGACGCTGGGTATGCAATAGCAGAGATAAAGACAGGAAACATGGGCTCTGACTTATGTTAGTGGAATCTTGCCATAGCCTTGAGTGGAGCTGAAAATTGGCTCCAGACATGTGAACATACAGCAATGTCCTTAGATCCCAGTGAACTTTCTAAGGTCTTCAGTGTGGCCCCCTTTGTATTTGAAGGGCTGCGATTCTTCTGTTTTGGCTACTTCTGCCATCTGCATTCTGTCAAGCTGTAGCTCTTTTCTCAATCATTAAAGCAGAGGAGGGAGGGAGACCTTTGAGATGCAGTTGCTTGGAAGGTATGTCATCCTGCTTCATGAATAACTTTGTGCTTAAAGTTGAACAAGCATAATGCTGTTTGCATTGTTGTTCAGTTTTGCTGTAGGTGATGATAAGCATCTGCTGAAGTGCTTTGCTGCATCAGCATCCCCAGTTGTTAAGGCAGTGAACAGTCCTTAGGATTTTGGATGCTATGTGGAAAAAATTCCTCTCTGCTCCATAGGAGGGTTTAAATTCCTGGCAAACTGCCTTCTGTGACCATAGCAATTTTCTTAGAAGAGGAGTTGGGGTATTACCAAGTACATACACAGTTTCAATATGCACTTCGCGAGCTTTTGCACTGTGGCTTAGCAGCCCAAAGAAGGGGCCAGGATTTATCACTCTGTTCCTACTGTTTCACTCTTGATGTCTTTTCTTCTAATGAAGTATGTAGAAATAAGCTTATTTAAAACCCCTTTAAGTGACTTATCTGATAGTCTTAACAAGTGTCACCAGAAATCAAAGCAATCTCTCATCACATGAACTTCATTGAAATGTTTTTTGTTCTTAGTACAGCAGTTTGTTTATATCGTGAGTAGTCTTTTCTGCTTCAATAATTGCACTTATCTCATTTACGTATAGAGTATCTATATGCAGAATTGCATATTACATGGATGTTGGGGAAAGTAGAAAGTTTAGTTTGCCCTTTTTTACCTTGTTTTAAACAAAAATCTACTTTTTTTGTTTTTGTTTGGGGATTTTGCAATTCTTACAGCATTGCCTAATTTATCCACTGCCCATCTGTTACTTGCTCAGGGGACCAAAGGAAATGGGGGGGGTGAAAAAGTAGAGTATAATGACAAACTTGGGTTTTCTGAGGTCACTGCTCCCGCAAATGTCTATTCCCTAGCTGATTCTTCTTGTCAGAAATGAGTTACAGACCTGAATGTAATTGTCAGAGGCCTTGATGGCTTCTTTGGCGTGACTGCCAGTATAGTGGAAGTGACCTTTTAAGAGAGGGAATAGGTAATATGTCACACAGTGTAAGTTCAGACAGCTATCACTTGTACCCAGGTTTCAGTTTGCATGTTAATAACTTAGTTATTTTCATGCAGAAATCTTCCAAAGTGTGCAAACGCTGTGTAAATGCGACTCTTAAAGTACAAATCTCGTTACCTTCAGATGCAGTCCATTCACTGTCCCTGTTGGTGTCTCTGCAGTTTTCTTGTTCCCCTTACCTGCATGAAAACTACTTGCATGAAATCTTTTAAATCCCGAACTACAACAAAATCTGTATGTATTTTTGTCTTGTTCTCTGTAAACACTAACCAGATTATAGTGTATAGAACAAGGCTGGTAATTCAGATACAAGGCAATGTCATGGGGTGGTGGCGAAGGAGGGGGTACAAAAGGCAGCCTGCCCTCAAGAGCTATTCAGTCATGTGGGTGGCAAATGCTTTCCTTAAGTGTCATCTTGGCTCAGTGTGTGGCAACTCACCTTACTGATGAAAGGACTTTGAAGTCTATTCTTAACTTCTGTATCTGGTGGGCAACCTCAGAGTCCTTCTGAAGTAGATTTCTAAAAGAGATAAATTTCTATAAACAGGATTTGGTAAGTGTGTGCATTGCATGATACTTAGGAAACTTGAGTTTTGCATGTTTGGTAGCTTCCTCCATGCATGTTTAAAAATGATTTTTTTTTTTGATTTAACCACATGTATTTCTTGTTTTTGTTTTTTGTTTTCCTTCCCCCAACAGCTGGCTTACCCCTTGGTGTTCTAAACTTGGCCAAAATAAAACCGTATCAGAGAGGCTTTTTCTGTAATGATGACAGCATCAAGTATCCGTTCCATGACAGTACCATCACATCCACTGTCCTCTACACAGTGGGGTTCACCCTGCCCATTTTCTCTGTAAGTAGCTAATATATAGGGAGCTTTGGTGATGGGAGTAAAATGTATGCCTTCCAAGAGTTCAGCACTGTGACTGTGAGTTGAAGACAGTCTATATAGGCAAAACCCCATGTATTTATAGTCATATGCATGTGAAAGGTACCTTTGCTACTTTCTGTTTGCACAGAAAATCTGGAACCAATCTGTAACTGCTAGTATCACTAATCTCATTTGTTTTAGGAGCAGAAAAAATGGAGATGAGGATTTAAATTGTATTAGTTAGTCTAGGCTTCTGTCATTGGGGAGAAGAATGCTACAGGCTTCCAAAATGCTATGGAATGAATACATCTCTTGTTCAGAATGGGTTAGTCTGATAACTTAAACACTTGTGATGTTAAAACTTCCACTGCAGTGGAGTGCACAAACCTGTAACTAGTGACTGTTGCTTCCATATATTTTCTAGAGAAATAAGTCTAATTTGGACTCAGTGGGTTTTCTTAGGTTTAAAAAAAATGTGATGACTCTTTAAACCCTTCAAAATGGGATACAGAGGCTGAAAATCTAGTTGCTTGTAGAAAAGAGGCTCAGTGTTTTCAAGACCACATGATTTTTACAAAGAACAATTTAACTCTTCAGTAGTTTTTTTTCTAACAATATTTTAAGCCTGATTGTATTCGGGCTTTTAGTAAGGTTTGAGCTTGTTTAGAAAACCAAAATGTAACTATTCAGAATAGTCTTGAACATGAAAATAAATCTTGTTGTTTCTGCCTGCAGTGATTGACCCAACTATATTAGAGATGGTCATAATCTTTGGTCTTCTGATAAATGTATATGCTGAATTAATCATAAGAAGTATATATTAAATTGGTTTAAGGATGGAAGCAGTCATTTAAAACAAGTAAACAGAAATCTGCAGAACCTCTATATGCATTACTCTAGTTTTCCCTTAAATGCTTATTTGTTAGAGCATGCATTAGTCCTATGCAGTAAATAGAAGGTAGACACAACAGTTATCATTAGCTTAGTTTCACTTTTGGGGAGAATAGTCTGAAGTTTGTAATTTTTACATGTACTGACATACATCTTCAGCACAACTTCAGGAAAATTTATTTTCCAGTAGGGTTGATGTGTACCTTAATTGATATGTGCACAGGTAAACTAGCAATTGCAGCTCTGTGCAATTTTGGACTTCTAAAGAGGCATTTCAGATGCAGTTAGATAATCTGTTGAATTGCTTGATTTTTTTTTTTTATCTTCCATTTTTAGATTTGAAGACGTTCCTGTAATAAAGTCAACTGAGATGCTTTTTTTTTTTTTTCTGGCTTTAAAGCAGTGGAGAAACATCTGACTTATAGCTAATTTACACAGAAGCATAAACATTTAAGGAGTGGTGTGGACAGCTATTGTAACTTTAACTGCCAAGTTATCTAAAATTATAACTTTGAATTTGACTTGCCAGTGATGCTAGTCTATTCTGATATTTTTCTTCTATGGTACTTTTGAGGATTCACACAGTGAATTTTATTGCCTGTCTTTGTGCTGGCGATTGGAGTATGTAATTGGAACAATCACTTCTGGCCTCCATGTTGAGAGGTTAAAAAAAAAAAAAAAAATTCTAAAGCACTTGTAGTTATGTAACATACAGGCTATCCATATCAGTTTTCTTCAGTCTGAATATTTTACAAACCTTAAAGCAGCACAGGTTTTCTGGAACCTAGTGAGAAAGTAATCACCGTAGTGTGTATGTTACTGCTCTGTGTAGTTAACATGTTAACCTAACTGGCTTTCTTAGTCTCAATTTTAGAGTCAGGGAACTCTTTACCTTCATGCAAGAGGTGAAAAATCACTTATGGCTACTGAAAACTTAGAGCTAGGGTGAACTGTATAACTAGGGAGTATGATATCTGAGTTATTACAACTTGCTGAGTTGAAAGTGGGTTGCAGTTGAATGCTTTCTAGCTTCAGGCTTGTCTTTATTAAAAATGGATGGGAAAGTTGATCGGTCTGGGAATATGAGAATCTGACATTCAGACTGGTTTTTGTTTTGGACTGACTCAGTGGAGGCTTGAGACTTTTTCCAAGGCAGCTTAAGTTTTTGGAAGTAGTATGTTCCAGAGTCAATATCCTCAGCAGGGACACAGCTGGCTCATGAAAGCTTATTGGGCAGTAATGCTGATTATCCCACATCTAGTGAAAAGTGTTATCCCCCATGAGACTTTCTTGAAAGGAACAGGCTTCTCAATGAAGGAATGGATGGTAAAAATCAGGTCTAATACTGGGCAAATAAGAGTTGATAAATCGCACTTTTGTGCAAACTTTTCTTCCCTAATTAAAGGCTACCTCGAACAGGATACTTGTTCCTAAGTAAGACTTACACCTCAGCTTTGTCACATCACAAAATAGAAGGAAGAACTTGTAATAGGAAGCTAAGGGAAGCAAAAGGACTCATCTGCAACATGTGAAAAAAAAAAAATTTCATTGAGTAGTAGGGTGGTTGTAGCCCTTCCCCTTAGCATTCAACAATGTATAGGTATTGCTGAGCCAGTTATTTAGTCCTGAATCCCTTAAGCCTCATGAAATCTAAGCAGAAATGCTTGAAATATTATGCATATGCCCCTTGCTGCACTAACAGCTTGCTTGTCTTCAGAGTGCAGTAAGAAATGGCCTGAACATCTTGCTGTATAAAAATAAAAGGTCTTGTCTGGTTCAGTTGTTGGGGTAGGCCCATAGTGGATTATAAAACAACTTCAAAGAAAAGAAAAACCCAACAAACCCTGTGGTAATGAGTAAGGAATAGATACTTCATTGTTAAGAATTCTCTTTCTGCATAAAATAAACTAGGCTGCCTGAACATTGATTTGTCTTCAGAACATTTTATGAAGCTTTATAAGATGTGTTAAAAACTTTCAGGGATTTAAAAAAAAAAAAAAAAAAAGAAAAAAAAAGAATGCTCTTGGAATTCACAGTTCCATTAATGAACTCTTTCTGTTCCCATTGCCACATTTTACCAGGAAATAAAATGTTTGGGAAAGAAACTCTTGTTTATTCTTTTCCGAGTGCCACTTCACAGTATGATACTTCTCAGTTTTACAAATTGTCTTCTGTGTCTGGATGGGAAGCACAATTTTAGTATTATAATTTTTGGAGACTTAGGGTCAACAAGCCTTGGTAGTGCTCTGGAAAAATGAATGTCTTTAGATGTCTAGACCTGTGTCTGGAGCAGCACACATCTATGATGACTGATGTTTCAAGAACCCCAGAAGATCTTTCTGATAATTCTACCTTCCCAAGTCTTTTTAGAGATGTTTAGAAGGTAATTCAGAATAGTCTAAAAGCCATGACTAGTTAGAGAGGGTAGTGGCTCTAGACTGCAGATCTAGGAATATTCTGAAATTAATCTTTAAGATGATGTACTTGGTCTGGCATTTTTGGTCTTTAGCTGTTTGCATGAGATCAGCTCTTCCAAGTATAAATGACAAATTAATGTCAGTGTCTTTCTGTTGCAGTGAGGTCCAACCATGCCTGTTTGCATGTGTCCTATTCAGTTGGTCTTTTCTGGTGACTTCACCTCCAATCAGTTTTTTTCTTCCTCCAGTCATCTCGCTTCTTAAGACCACTGCCCTCAGTGACACCCATGCAGCTTCTCTTAGATCTAAGGGTGGGTGCAGTTGGGGGACAGAGAAGCACAGAGCAAAGGAGACCTCTCTGAAGCATTCTTCTCACCAAAGGAGCAGAAGAACAGAGCAGCTCAAGAGTTGCTGAGTTTCATCTGCTACCTGTGCTGGGTTCTGAGCAGGGTTTCTGTAGTTCCCTACCAAAGCTTTGCCTAGCTGCTCTGTTCAGGAGCTGAAGGGACACAACCCTCTGGTGAGTTTCTATATGATGGACTGGTTTATGAGAGGGCAAGAGTTCAGTTCTTCTAACTCAGCCAAACTGCAGCACTGAGTTTCTGGGGAACAAAGTAGTTTGCGACAACTGTTGCTACTAAAACAGGCAATGCAAAAACTGATGTTCCTCACAGGGGAGGTGTTCACTAGTAAACAGTTTTGAGGAAGTCAATTCTTTGGGATGAGCTCTGCTATCTGGGACTTCTTTGAGAGAAACGAACATTATGGGCCTGTAGAACTTAATTTCTCCACCTTGAATGCATCCAGAAGATATTTAGGTGGTCAGGTCATGTTGTCTTCTACTTCAAAAAACAAAACCAAAACATTCTTATTTTGGTTTGGCAAAGGCTAGTGTCTTCAGTATCACAATGCCTTCGCAAAAGGAACCTATGTAGCTTTGCTCCTGTGCCAGCTTTAACCTGTTAGGCATTAGGCTTAATGTTTTCAGAAACGTCTCCTTCTACCACATGTATCAATGTAACTTTTCCTTCTTACAGATTAGCACAATCATACTTTGGAGGCAATCTACTGACTTCTTTTCTGGCAAAAGGAACTAATCTTCTTTTATGCTCTGTTTGTGAAAGGGTTATATTTTGCAGGGAAACTTTTCTTGAAAGCACCTATTTGATTAACAACATAAGCACTTACTGGGCTAATTCATAGATTTCCTGAGACACAAATGTAGTGACTGCTGTGGTGGAGGCTGACAAAGTAGGGGACTGTAATGAAGCCTATTGGAGACTGTTAGATTGGTACATGTGCACTTTTTTTTTTCAGCAGTGTCAAAGCTTTATGGCCCACTGTTGATAGTTCTGCAACTAACTGAAATTAAAAGCTGCTGTTTGACACTAGAGTGGACTTTTGCATCCTTTAACTTAATTTTCAGGTTTCAGGTTATGTATTAGTAATTTTATTATGCTCTGAACAAGACTTTGCCTCTTACCTGGTAAACTTTTTCAAGAGGAGAGTAATGTTTTCATGTTTTTTTTGAATATTCATGGCACTGGCAACCTTTCTGGGCAATGCTGTTGGACGTCATAATCTGGCATAAGTTCTACTTGATACTAACTGTTCATCTTGTACTGCTGCAGATCAGTATCATCTCTGAACCCAAGCTTATTCTGAGGAATAAACTGCTAATTTGTGTTTGTTCAAACTCTGTTTAAAGCCAACATAATAACAACCCATGTTTGTACTATGTGAAGGATTAATGTGCAGGGTGATGCACTTTGAATTGATGAGTAATTCCTGGGTGAGATCAGTGCTGTGGGGGACAGAGGCTAAGAAATGGCAGTTGCTGCATCCAGCTTTAGCCCCACTTCTCCCCTGTCCACGGTGAGGTTGTTCTGGTGGGCTCAGTTTGAAATCAGGTGAGGAAGGATCTGAGGAACACCACTTCTGGTTTGATACTTGTACAAATCACTCCTGCCAGATGCAGTTCATTTTAAATAAATAAATTGCAGCAACTTGCTTAAGTCTGTGGACTTAATATTGTACTTTTCTCAGTCCTTCAGGTACATTTGTTAATACAGGGATGAAGAACACATGCAGTGTATGAAACTGAGTAAAATAGTTGGCAGCCTAACAGTGGAAGGAGGTCCAGTCAAGGGCTTTTAAAGTGCAGAGTGAAGCTTGGTCATAACTATGAGAAAGCTAAGCGATCACAGTGGTTTGAGTTGTTTTTGAAGGTATTATTTAGTAGAGTATACAAAAAGGTAAAATGGAATAGGGAGAAACATAGGGAGAGGGAGTTGCAATATTTAAAGGCTTGTCACTTAAGCAAAAACCCCAGTCTGTGGCATAGATTTTTTACTTGTCTCGTACCTAGTTGTCAATAACTTGATGTTGACATCCAGGACTTAGAGACCAGAGACTCAAGGGGGTGGTGAAAAAGGGAAGGGACTACACCAGAAACCAGAGATGAGCACCAGGGAAAGTAAGTGAAAGAGGGGGAAAGTTCCTTTTTGTGCTGCCTCTTCTGATTCCCTTCCTCTGGCTCACCCCATTGTACCTCTTTCTGTTCTGCCTTGAGCAGTAAAATGTCCATGCAGAGAGATGGTTTTTACCAATCTCCTCTGGAGAAAGCTGAATGACAAAATGCAGCAGTTGATCTTGGTGAACTGTGGAGTGATGGTATAAGCATATTTCTTACTAGGTGCCCTCCTGAACTTCACAGCTTCTTTTAAGAAATGGGAAGTAGCATTGTTCTGGTACTGAGGAGAAGCCAGTGTCTTAATTTAATCTGCAAAGAGCTGTATGATACCATAACCAATCCCCATAGAATGTGAGCAGTTATACAGAGTAACACTGAACTCAAAAGTTTTAACCAACCTTTCACAAAATGCGTGTTTTTCCAGGCAGAATTTCTAGTGTTGTACAAATGAATACTATGGGTTGTTTTTGCTGATGCAGTTAGTAATGAAATCTCTACAGCATATTCAGGGGGAATGTTAGCTTGTGCTTTCTGTCTTAATTTCTGGTATAAGGAGACTTAAACCTCAAAATACTACTTATGCCTTTTTTTTTTTTTTTTTTTTAATTTAAGAAGTCTAGGTGTCCGTTCTGGTTTAAAGCTACACTAATGAAGTTGGCCTTAGATAATACCACAAAGTGGTTGTGGCTTTTCTTGAAGTGTTAGGAGAAAAGACAGCAAAATCTTTTAAATTTCTTTTGTTTCTAAACTCTGGAGAAAGACTATTGCTACCCAGTGCTTAAGCACAGATGATTAAAGCTGTTTGTCTGAAACATATCCACTGTTTCCTGGTGTCAGTCACATCTATTCTCTTCCTAATTCCTTTCATATACCAGGACGATTGTGTACTCAGGCTAAAGGCAGCATTTAAAAATAAATGTCATTATTTAGATCTGTACATTCGAATGATTACTTCACCAAAATCTTAAGAAACTAAATAGTCATGGGATTAGATGAAGAATCCTTACATGTATAAATAATTTATTCAAAAGTGAGAAGTGGATGGTAGAAGTAAGTGCTCCCTGGCTTTCACAAGGAAGGAGGGTACCAAGTAGAGCTCTCCAGGAGTCTGCCCTGTTCAGTATAGTCATAAATGCCCTGGAGGTGAGTGTATGCAGTGAGGCAGCAAACTTGGGTACTTGGAGCAGTAAATACAAAAGATGGCAATGACATGGCTGGTGAAATAGAGTGTGGATAAATGTCAAGTGATGTCCTTCCTGAGGACAGTGGAAAGGACAACTCGAGGGCAGCATATAGTGTGATGTTCTCTGTCTTCACTGGAGTGGTAATGATCAGCTTTTAGTTCTGTGGAGTGATCATCTTCATGCCCAGTAACAGTGAAGAAATCTAATCAAGATTAGAAACTTGGAAAGAAGTAGATCTGTGTTATACAGGAAATTTATGGGAAAAAAAACAATATAATCAGTCACAAATTACTTAAGCTTGTGAGGAAATCTAATCCATTATGCTTTATGAGTCAGACTATTGGACAAAAGTACTGTAATTGTTTAAAATATTTAGACTTACTAGTCGAGCTACTTGTTTCTACCTCTTGAATTCGGACTGAAAGGCTGTTTCAGAGGTCTATATATCTCCCTCACTATGAATGTCTTTATTGCCAGCTGTATTTGTAGCTCCTTAATTCTTGGTGGTTGTTGGATCAGTATTGCTTTTTTTTCCTGATCTCTGCTGCCTATGTAATTAGCTGATTTACAGGCCTTCAGTTCTGCTGAACTGTGCAAACCCCTACTTTTCTCGTTTTTGAGGTAATGAGGAATGTACTTTAGCAGTCCTTCTCTGTCTGCATTTAAGAGACTTGAATTAAAACCATGTTTGCAAATTCTGACTGATTGCTGTTTAAGAAGAAATTATTGTCAGGTGGCTAAAAGCATTAAGGCCTTTAGAAAGGCTTGTTTAATGGTCACACTGTTATATTGATGTACAACAGCCATAGGAAGCAGACATTATTTTCCCCTCATATTCTCCCAGCTCATCAGAGTTGTTTAGCCTCCAGGTGCATGACTCTGAACTCACTACTGCACAAATCTCCATCTATTCTCTTGCTTCAGTCTTAAAGAGTTGTTTTACAGGCAGAACTGGTTGACCTTGATCTTTCACTGTATCAGAGAATTGCCAGCTCTGTCAGCAGTACATCTACTAGTTACTCATTGATGATGCTGGCATATGCACTGCATAACACTAGCTTGTTGACTTTATCCTTGAGGCTACCCTACTGGTAACCTCTTCCCAACCTTATAATTCCTCTTAACATACCTGTTGTCATCACCCTTTAGGCAATTTCTTCACTGTTTTACAATTGACTTGGAAAATGAAGTGTACATCAGGGTTGCTTTTTGGTATTGTCATACAGGAAGTATTCAGTAGAGAGTCTTTAATGACCCTCTGCCATCTCTACTCCTTACTTAAAAGGAGTACTTAAACTCCCCAATTTCTTCTATTTTCATGTAAAACTGAGCCCAACTAATTTTTACTAATTATCCTTTCTAATGTGCCAAACTTTCCCCTTAGAAATTGTAGGTTGTTTAGGGTAAAAATGGGTATTTGTAGAAAAAGCAGAGCATTTCTTTTAACTTACTGTGGCAGCATGTGACTATGGCGGATGAGCAGCATTTCTTTTCCCAGTGATCTGCTGTTGAATCTTTGCTACTTTTCCTTGAGAAACTATTTTAGACTTTAATGTGGATAAATTTTCAGGCAAGGAAGCACACCATCTCCTATGCTACTATTAAAATCTGTTCCTCAGTTGTATCTGGGAAGTTAAAGACCTTGGCAGTAATGATAGTTGTACCATTATAAAGACAAATATAATTTGGTATCTTCAGTCATGTTCAGTCCTCCTGTGCCACAAGGTTTCATGTGTAGGAATTGCCACTGTGATACAAGAACTTATTTCCTGTCTTCTGAAATTATGATATCTCTTCAGGGTGACAAACTGACATGTCTATCACAGCTATAGGGAAACCCTACTGCTGTATATGCTATAGTAAGGGACTTTGCCTCTTCCATCACTTATGCCAGTTCTGCTTGTTTCTCCTGCTTATACTAATGAAAAAGCCAAACGGTATTTTTCTCTGTCTGCGTTGTCTTCGAGGGAGAGAGACTTGCACTGCAGAAACTACTTAAGCTATATATTTGAAATAACTTTGATTTGATTTTAGAAAGTAAGTGTGGTGGTTTTTTTTTTTAAATTTAAAATCTGACAAAACCAGACTTTGCAGATTCATTTAAAACAGAACAAAACCCTAAGTATTGTGAGAAGTTTTTCTTAATGGCTTCACTTGCCAGAAAATGAAGGAGTTGCCGCCCCTCTGGTTTGACTTCTACTTTTCTCCCAGCTCCCACCAGCTAATAGTGAAGCCAATCCATGTTTGTTTAAAAGAAGTAAATTAAACCTGCTGTGTGGAACATGTTCTGAGGGAGTAGGTATTGACACTGGAGAGTACTTTAACCAAAAAGGCATCAAAAGTCAGTACTGGCATGGTTTTTCAGGCTAATAACTGCTTTGGATTGAGCAAAAGGTAAATCACAAATGTTGTAGTGCTGTGATTTTAGTCTTCAGTTTACCAGCGTTAAGTCAATCTGATCAATTTTACTGTAATCTGTTTTTTAGAAGTTAAAACCTTTATCTGAAGCTTTCATAGAATCATAGAATTGTTTAGGTTGGAAAAGACCTTTAAGATCATTGAGTCCAACCATGAACTCAATATTACCATGCCCACTAAACCACGTCCTGAAGTCCCACACGGAGCATGTCTCCTTTCAGCACTGAAATGTGCCGAGAAGAGCAATAAGACAAATGACTAGTGGAATTACTTTTTAAATCTGTTACACAGTTGGGGGAACTGAAAAAACACTTCATGAATTTTACTATATAAGCTTTTTCAGCAGTATTGTATTTCAATGCATAGCTCTTCCAATTGATTGTTACTTCAAACCAGGTAGATACCTAGAACTTTAAGACTTACACTATCTTACCTAAATTTCGCTGGTTGTGACTTCAGGAAACTGTTTATAAAATTTTCTTTCTTAATTAGCAAAGTGGGATTGGTTTCAGATAGAGTAAAAGAGGTAGAAAGAAATTATGAAAAAGAAGGCATTTTAATAACTTATTTTAGCTGGTTGTTACTTGCTTAAAAAGCAAAACAAAACCAAACTTTGAGTTATTGGTATTTTGGTTACATGATCTTGATATAAGAAGGTGCTGCAAGCAATTACAGACTAATTACATCATAATCTCAACGTTGCTGAGAAGTGAGCACACATTTCAAGCAGCTTCTCTTTGCGTGGAAAAGCATGCGTTGTCACTGCATGAGGGACTTCATTCCCATGATCTGCATACCATTTCCACTTCCCATTTCTGATTTAGCAGCAGGTAATTGCCTTTAAAAAAAACCAACAAAGCCACCCAAACCCACCTGAATAACCCCAGCACTCTGAAAAATTTGTGTCCCAGCTTGAGATGCTGAAACATTCAGGTGGGTAGGAGGAAATGAGGAGTAAGCCACTGTGACACCATTATTCATAGAGCAGGTATCTCTGCTCAGAAGTATTTGTGGTGGTGTGCTGAAGCTGTAGTAAGGTTTTTCTAGGCTGAACTTAATTTTGTGAGCAACTGCTTTACCATGATTGAAACTACCTACTTTAAACAAGTAAACCTGTAAATTAGAGACTCTTATTTGTGTATGCCTCATTCTCCAATTCTGGAGATCTAAAAAAAATACACTTTTCTCAAATACAGTCTTGAATCTTGGTGTTAGTATGTGTGCGAGGCAAAGGATGAAGTTTTCATTCCATACGTATTTTATTGAATAAATAATGTTGGAAACACACCACAGCATTATGTTGACAAGTCACAGTCCCCTCACCATGACTGCACGCTGCTTTTGCCTCCTCCCTTGCACAAATTAGCTAAATACCAAGTAACTAATGATATGTTGTGACATGCTGTCACAATACCAATGCGAGGGGAGGGCAGAAATGAGGTCTGGGCTGCAATGTTTTCTAAAACCCTGCTATTATTACTATTAGGAGAAAGGGAGAGGGATTTTTTTCCCTGGTAGGAAAGGCCATGTTTTTGCACTGTACTGCAGAGTCCAGCTCCAGGGTTCTGTGCTGGCTGGTGTCTGAATAGTTCAGTGTTTTGGCGAGGCTCTGGCTTGGCTCTTAGCCTGTCCTTCTGTGCTGCTTTGTTGGTGTGCTTGGATAGCTTCCAGATCTAGATCAGTTGTAGTCCTGCTGGTGTGGAACTGGAAACAACCCCTCTTCACAATGACAGTGTGTTTTTCTGCCACTTTCAGAGGGAAGGTTTTGCATGCTATTGATTTTAGGACTATAACAGTACGGAAGATACTTGATTCTTTACAACGAGCTTAGCTGGAGTACATGGGCACTATGATAAGCCCATAACTACTTGGTCATGGAACAAAGCTGTGTCTCGTTCATCATGGGTCGCTTCAAGGAAATTTTCACCTTATGAGCCATTAGTTTGTTATTTGTTTTTCTGTGTCTGTTTTCAAACTGAAGCATTCTTTTAAGCAGTCACTTCATGGTGTGAAGAACAAAATTGATAGCAAATGATTGGTGAAACCACAGTATGTGCCATTTGTGATGAGCCCAGGAGTCAGACTGAGTTTGGAGGACTTCATGGGTAGAGGCTAAAGGGGAAAGGATTGAAAAGGATCCTAGGTCTTTTTCTTTCTTTTTTCTTGTAAATCCTGACTGTGTAACAGTGTTTCTCTTCTCTTCCCTAACAGTTTTCTTACTACTTGGTTGGTATCTTTTTTCCTCCTTTTTTCCTGTTCTTTCTGTGTTTACTTTTGTTTGTACACACTTAATTGGGGGCAGCTGTCTATATGGAAAGGAGGAGGTGGGCTATGCCTTGACACAGGGGTCCTGAGGAGAGAACTGAGACTACAGCAACATCTTTCTCTGACAGGAAGGAAGGAAGGAGGCTGGTTTTCATCTTTCTGATCCCTTACCGGTAGATTAGGAGTGTCTCCCTGCTGATGATTTTTCTTGTCTAACTCTAAATTGCTGTGCATTTTATGTGCAATACTGCTGAATTTTGAGCACAAAATCAAGGGCTTTTAAGTACTTTAATGCCACTGGGCTGTACATCCTTAAATTAAAGATGATTTATTGTTTTGTTGAACTTTCTTGGTAGTCCTCCACCTTTTTTTTCCATACAGCCATTTCTTTCTGAGGGTATTCATCCTTGTGTACAAACAGATTATGCAGATGGTGTATGTGTGTCAAGGATGGAGGATTGGGGTTTGGGGTTTAAAAATGTGATTCTCTTAGTTTGTAGTAACTTCTATCTTATTTTGAGCTTCTTTTTTTAAGCGTTGCTATTCAAATGACTAGTTTTGGTTAGTGCTGTAGGTCTCTTGAGGTGCAATAGCACAAAGCATTGTGTTCTGTCGAGTTTAGGATGAGCCAAGGGGTCTTTTGTCAAAGAGAGGGGAATAAAATCTCCATGCCCTGAGGTTGTAGGGCTTGTGCAGTGACCACATTTTTCTGGGGAACTATCCAGTGTGTGTGTGGAAGTGAGGGGATTGCATGCATGTGTATTTTTTCCTTTTTTTCATATCTTCCTGAAAACTCCCTCTGCACTTGCACTCCCTGAGAAGCACCCCTTTTCTGCTTTCACAAAATGCAGTTTATGCTCTTCTGACTTGTAAAGTTGTCCAGAGAAAGTATAAAGGGGCAACTGTTGCTCACTGGAATATAAAGGAATAGTTGGTAATTGTGGCAGTAGAGTGAGCAACTCGGTAGTTATCACTGACCTGTTTACTCCATCATGGTTTCAGCATGCTTCCATACTTGATATGCCACAAATACGAAGGTGAGAGGAATCCTGTCCTGCTCTCCTTCATTCAGCAGTCCTTCCTGGGAGCTGCAAAGACAAGGCAATAGTCATTGGCCAAAGGAAGTGCATAACCTTCTAACTTGCTGCATGTCCGTTCCTCTTTATGCACTTCTCTTTGGAAATGCGGGGGTATAATCATCGCTAGAGTTTGTGTTGCTTTTGTAATATATTTTTTATTCCTTTTTGCTAGCTGGCTTGCCTTTTGCAATTCTCAATTCAAGACGTATCCCCTTCCAGAGAGGAGTTTTCTGTAGTGATGAATCCATCCAGTATCCATACAAAGAGGACACCATTTCTTATAAGTTGTTAGCAGGAATAATTATTCCTTTCAGTGTAATTGTTGTAAGTTAAACTTTTCTTCATTGCATTTGATTTCAATGGGGGTGGGGGAGTGGGAGGAGGGGCAATCTGTTAATGCAGACTTCTAAAACTGTATTCTATAAGATTTCTTGACTTCAAAATACGTTAGACCAGGCATTAAAGCAGTAGAAATGGTGTTCTGGCAAGAATAAGTAAAAGGTTTTCTTTAATTGAAGTCAAACAACTAGAATTGTAGAACAGAAAAAGAATACCTTAGAACCATGGTGGCTAATTCTATAGTCTGAGAGAGAAAAACTTCCTCCCTTACCATGTCAGTTAAGAATAACACTAATGTATTTTAAATGACTGTGTCAAGCTTTTCTATTTTAGGAGCTACTACTTAAGAATATGAGTTTGCATGACCTGTTAAGGCATCAGTTTTATCTGCCACAGAGTCATCGGAAGTACTTCTGTGTGTGGAAGCATAGCAACAGATCCTGAGTTCTTTAATAGAAAGATACTATTGCTGCTAATCAGAACTTATCAAAAGCATAACTAGAATAAAAAGAATAAGTAGCCAGGGAGTTTTCCCCTGCATACTTCCCCAAAGGTCAGGATAAAACACTAGGCCCACTTCTGTTTGAGTTAATGGTAGGGCCTACTTTCATGCTGCACCTAACCTGGTTGAAAATGGGGTACCGTTCTCCTTCCCTCCTCTTCACACCAGATCAGCGAGCTGGAGACATTGCCTCTGCAATTGCCTGTTCAGAATCTCCCTCTTTGACCACAGCTTCTAGCTCAATTGAAATGGCTCAAGCATACAGTGACTCTGTATCCTTAAAATTTAATTACATGCTGTCAGCTGAGCTAACCTAATAGCTTACTATGGACAAAAGGTGAGGTCCCAGTTTTACCCTGTCTTTTGCCACCTCTGGTGACTTGTCTGAACCAGGATAAGCTAGTGAATTCCCTAACCTGGCAGAAAACAGCAGCTTTCTTTGAGCTAGGTTGAGTGAAATGACTCCTGGAAGAATACAGTATCAGTACTGGGGCAAAAAGTGGTGGGGGCATGTCCTTGGGCATAGGCAGAGGGAAGAGCTGGACCTCATCAGTTAACCATTTTGTGCCCTAAATCTCCTGGGACTTTACTTCCAACAATGGCCCTTCAACAGGGGCTTCAAGATTCCTGTCCAGACGTGGTAAAAAGCTTCAGACTCCACACATGACTCCATGTTGGGTGACATCCAAGCTCATCAGAGCTACGCTTTGAGTAGAGCTAAACACTTCTATGGCAAATAAGATTTTAAGTGTATAAATATTCAAGTGTATTTTAGGAATCAAAGCTGGAAAAGGAGCAGCTACATGTAAGCCTCAGTATTGGCCAGCTGTTTCTCTGGGCTAATGGGCTAAAATCAGATAGGATATTATGGCAATCTAACTCTTTCTTGCACAAGGATTGCATGGATTTTTATCAAGCTTCCAGCATAAAGGTCAACTTGTACCTTATATTTGCTTTTGGGTTGAACATTTTTTTTTTTCCCCTGACCGTAGAAATGTGGGGCTGGGAATCAAAACTGTGACTTATTGTTACGGAGGCTCACACAATCAAATCCGACAGGTGTTAAAACAGATTTATTCTTCAGTGAAAAGTTAGAACTCCAATAACATTAGTGAACCACAGGATCAATGATGTAAGGGGAATGAGTGCTACAAAGCTGACTTAAGAATTCTTAATATTAAAAACGATGACTCAAAATGTGCATATCACTGACCTAAGAGATGGGGGCTGCAGGAGTTACCTAGGGCCACATCCCAACCCAAGGGGGAGACCCCGACTGCAGACCTGCTGCTCTGAGGAGGACTGAATCGAAATGTCCTGCAGCGGGGCCCTGTTTATACCCTTGTTGAATCTGATCTCTGGTCATTTTAATCCCCATTGGCCAAAAGGTCAACACTTCTGTGTACCTGGCGCGTGTCAGATTGGTCAGTTCAATTTTCAACCTGCAGTCTCTAGGGTTTGGGGTTTTTTCCTCTCCTTCCTGCCCGGAGAAGTTTCGTTTCCTGTCGGGGCGGGTGTACCTGCCACACTTACCTAGTTTTCCTTTTCTTGGAAAAACTGCTTCAAAAACTTACAGAAATACTTCTGGAGCAGATGAAGCTTTTTTTTTTGTTTTTGTCTGTTCTATTAACTATCAAGTGGTTTATGCTGAAAGATCCTGTCTGTTAAGATGGGACTATTGTTTTCACCCTGTTACTACCATTGGTAGTGAGTATTACCTAAGAGCAGCAGTATTTGGTCAAACTTAAGTCCATCTAGCTTGTTACCTCATTTCTAGCAGCGGTTAAAACAGGTGAGGGAGGAAGAATAGAGTGAGCAAAGATTGATGTTCTGCCCTCAGTACTTTGCTACCAGCCATTTGCAGCTCAGGGACTTCCTGAGTCAGAAAAGGCTTCAGTTAATATAGTAATTTTTAACGGTTGTATTTCTTTTATCAAATCTCTGTATAAGCCTGTATGAACATTTAGCTAACAAAGTTAACCTTTGTAACATCAGGGACCATCTTTTAGTTGTGAAATCGGGCTTTTCTGTCAAGATGACTTTAAAGTCGGATGGTCAAAGCAAATGTTGGTGTCCTTTATTCAATGCTCAGTCAGATTATTGAAGATGAATAATACTCTTTGATGTCTGTGTCCTGTGAAGTAGCTGCATTGACATCACCTAAGTTTTTGTCACCTCAGTTTTGATAAGTGACGTTCTTGCAGGTTTTGCAGCCGGGTTCTTTAAAAGGGATTAATTGTGTACCAGTCAAGGCTCTGATATTTCTGCTCAACTATCCTCCATTAAGAGGTTACTCTCTGGGATGGGTAGATTCTGTATAAGAGCTTACCAACATCTACTTCACTGAAAACTTTCTCAGCTTTAGTCCACGTGCTGGTGTTTCTCTGCTTCAGTCCATGTTTCAGTATGGTGCAGGGTGTAAAACTTCAGTGTCACGCATCTGATGGGATTTTCTGTTTGCCTTAATGTACAAAGCTGCTGACAGCTACTTTGTCTGCCCAGGTGTTAGAGTGTCTAATAACAGCTTCATTCACCAAAGCTCTGCTTTGCTGGGATCCTGGACTTGTCACTCTCAAGTGACAGATGGAGCCATCTTTTAATCTTTATAGGATTTTTAAAGCTCACTTTTCATATATGCATACAGTCCCCCACCCATCTGATCATCTGTATGAGTCAAACCTTTTTATACAAAATGGGACCATCTGGTTCAATATCCAACCTATCTGGAATGAAGTTTTGTACTTTGTTTAAGTAAGAACTTACTTTCTGCAAAAGATAAAGTTGCGGGAAAACAAAATTAAATCTGCTTTCCTGCCAACACTTGATACACGTGATGCATATACTTTAGACATGCAGGGTGAAAAACCCTTGGAAAGACCTCAGTAATGCCTGTCTTTCCCTACTCTCATTAGTTTTCTCCCCTAAGGATTTAATTTTCCTGAGGAATTGGAAATTTGTTTAAATAACTGGCCTTTCAGATCCGGAAAGGAAGTCTAGACCCTTCAGAATAGTCTCTAGCTTCACAAAAAAACTAACTTTATGATGAAATAGACAAATTTTGCTCAGCAGAAGTTAGCTGAAGAAGACTCAATGTAGAATAAAATGTAATACTAGAGAAAATGTTTCTAATTAGGGCCATGCCAAGTAGTATGGATAAATGTTACTCTGAGAAGGCTTTGTTTAATCAATAATATTAAGTTCAACATGAAGCAGGGTAAGGTAAAAGTTTTTTTTCTAGTACATAAAAGTGTTTAAAGTTTGGGCATGGTTAATGCTGACTCTTGGAGAATTTAAATGTGCAGCTTAATGTTTATAAAAAGTAAATTTCTGAAACTACATGTCTGATTATTAACAATAGAGTAATATCTTTCTTTATAAGTGATTATATTTCTTTAACTGTTGTCCTTATTTCTCTTTCAGATCATCCTAGGAGAGACTCTCTCTGTCTTTTATAATCATTTGCACTCAAATTCATTTGTCAGAAATAACTACATAGCCACTATTTACAAAGCCATTGGGACCTTCATTTTTGGAGCAGCTGCTAGCCAGTCGTTGACAGACATTGCGAAGTACTCCATAGGTAGACTGCGCCCTCACTTCCTTGCTGTGTGCCAGCCCGACTGGACACGGATCAACTGCAGTCTAGGTTACATTGAGAACTTCTCTTGTCAAGGAGACAAAGCAAAAATCAATGAGGGAAGGTGAGTCTGACTAACCTCATGTACTTGGTTGTGAGACCTGTTTCTTAACTTGGGATGATGAGTTTGGTATTGCTACTGGATTTTTTGAGCTTCTCCTAGAATAAATTTCTTGTAATGAATTTTAAACTTTGAGCCCTGTCTAGACACTGGGATTTTTTCTAATTTGTGGAAACTCGTTTTATTAGTGTACAGAAGAATGCATAAATTATTGTGTATTCATTTCTGCTTTTTTACAAAATGTGGGTGACGTTCAGTTTTGATTGGCTTCTATTTATGTTTCTAAAATGTCTGTGCATCCCAATTGAGAGAAGAATTTAAAATCTGCCTTTGAAATTAGATGTGGAATAAAAATGAAAGTAGTTCTGATTTAGAATGATAGCAAATAAAACCTGGATGTATCCATATAAAAATATGGAGGACTGTTAAGAGAATCACTCTACTCAGTTCTCTCTCAGTATTAGGCATTTCATTACCTTACTTACCTGCCAGTTCAATTGCAGCAAGATAGCAGGGAAACAAAAATGAAGCATCTGACACATTGGAGTTTTGTCACTGTGTTATAAACAACAGTGTCTTAATGCTATTGGAAATGTTAAAGTATGTTCAGAATAATTTCTGTTATTAGAGTTGCTTGAGCTCCCTGGAAGCTTAGTTTTAGAGAATCTCCTTGCTAGCCTTTTTCCAGAAGACCTATATGCCCTCTTAGAACTTTTCTCTGTGTGTGTGGTTTTTAAATACATGTGTATAGGTTTTGTTTGCTGTCCTCTGTGCTCATTTGCTCTTCTAGCATGTGTCCCCTATGAATCTTTCAGTAGCATGCATGGTGTCCCTCAGCAGCCACGGGGAAAATGTTGCATATTGATTTGGTGGGGAATCAGATCCAGCTGCAAGTCATGCACAGCAGCTGTTTAAAGGTGCTAGAAGCAGTTTGTATTTTGAATGGCTGATGGTAGTAGAGGAGCAAGTGCATGATGATAGATACACAGTATAGCAGATAATCCTAAAACGAGCAGAGCTTCATGCAGGTAGCAGATAGACAAATTGGAGTTTGGTCTTTGAGAGATTAGAGGAGTGTGTTTCATGTACAGCTTTTTTTTTTATTACTAATGCCCATAATTGTGCTTAGAATATTTACTTACTCTAAGCTATTCTAGACGCTGATTATTGGATGGACTTTCCTTGCCTGTGAGTAGCTCTGTAGAGTCAGAATATCCACTAGTAATGTGTAACTTATCTCTGTTCCAGGAAACATGCAATGTACTTCTGAAGACTTGTAATTGTCACTTTCTCTGTGACTGTCAACTTCAGTTTGGAAAAAGGCAGAGTAAGCAAAGGAGGATTTTCATGAAACACAGAAAACAAAGAATTCCTAAACAGCATGTCTGTCAGCTTTTTCAGTATTACTGACTTTCCAAAGATCTGACTTATACTAGAACAACCTTAATAATTGGAATAAAGGAGATGCTGCCTCCCCCAGGATTACAAATTGTCTCGGTATCTTGTCAGCTTTGCAAATTTTAGTGTGGTGAGTTAGCAGAAGTACTTGCCAGAAACTAACTCTTTAGAGTTTAAAAAAAGATAAAATGGTAACTTGTAACACAAGATGGGGGCAATACAGGGGGGTTGTTTGTTTGTTGTTTTTTTTTTTTTAATATATTTTACATTGTGGCAGGGGTAAAATGTTTTACTTTCTTTGCTTCAACTCACTAAAAGTGGTTATTTCTTTTTATTCTACTACTATGTGAACAGATACTTGTCTAAGTTTCAAATGGGATGCGTCTTTAAACAAAATTGTACATCCTCAGGTGCTTTGTGAAACAGAATTGCATGGCTTTCAGCATGAAACTGTGGGGTCAAAATTCAACTTGGGTGTAGCTCTCAGTCTTCAGTTGAACTTCTGCATGAGTCTAAAAATGCTTCTCAAATGTAAAGGGGGAAAGGGAGAAAATTGGAGTCAATTGTAACGACTAAAATGGTCCTGAAATAAAATGTTCTGGGTTTTGGGGCTGCTGAAAAACAGCTAGCTCATCCTCAAACTGGTAACCAGATTTTTGTTGTATGAGAACAACAAGGGGGAGCAATGGCATAGCAATCACTTAGTTTTTGTTCTTCCCTGTGCAACTAGTGCTTTGACATCTTGGACTTCCATATTGGAAGCAAGATTTGCCTATCATCTCTAAACTGGTGAGCTGTTAGGTTTGTATTCCTAGCAATTGTCCTGTTCCCTTTTTCTGTTGTCCCTGTTGCTCCCTAGAAAATGATGTAAGAAGGCTCTCCTTTTTGGTCAAAGCTTGCCTTGGAAGTGATGACTTCAATGGGGGCTCACTTGCGGTGTTTCCACTCTCAGCTGAAGCTTTGCATGCACAGGAAGCTGTAAACAAAAAATAAGTTAGTGAGTGGTCAAAAAAGGGTAGATTAAAGTGGGAAATTGTCCTGTACAGGTGGATGTCATGGATGCAGTGACCCAGTAAATCATTCTGGGTTTCTTAAGGAAATTGGGCCCTACATCTGAAAGGGTGGTTTCAATGATCTTGGGTCATGTGCCTACATACCTTACAGTTAATAAGCCACTAAGAGCATGGAGTTTGTTTGTGGTGAGTTTTACAGCAAGTTGGAGGAGGTCAGTACGCTCTCAAACTGTAACCCGGAGGTGAATTTCTGGATCAGTTGGACAAAATTATTAGTGGCAAACTTATTATCAGCTACCCTCATTTGCATAAAAGAAATATGCGGGTAGAAATACCAATAAAGAATGAAGACAGGACAATCATAGTGTTGAATACAAAACTATATGTTCTGAATTGAACCTATTATTCCTGTGTAGTAGTAGAACTTCAGATTGTTTTTGAGTATTTTTAGATATTCATGCTCAGTTATACAGTCAGAAATACAAATATAATCTTTGTTTACTATTTCTTAATTCGTAGCAGGAAAACAATGCTTCCAGTATAAAAATCCATTGTGTGCTTCTACTATGCATATTGTACTCTTCTGTTTTGTTCTCCTACCTTCTCATCCCTTCTCATCATCCTTTCTCATAATTTTATATTTATCAAAAGTATAAAATAGTTTTGGTATGCAGCATCCCTGAGTAGATCAGAGCTCTTGGTCTGAAATAGAGTAACTGGGTGTGTGTTGAAGAGGTGGGTGTAAGGTGGAAGTCTCTAAAGGATACATTAGAAGTGGTATAGAAGTTAGGTAATGAACAATTGTTCCCACTTCCTCTAATAGTAAAAGTGGAAGCAAAACATTTGAAGTAGTTTCTTATTTTTATTTTTTCCCACATGAAGATTAAGAAGATGAACTAAGCTGTGGAATTCTTTGCAGTGCTGGGATGTGCAAGTTTATAGGTGGGTTCAAAAACCCATTTGAGCAAACTTCTAGAAGAATAAAACCAAGAAAACAACCTATGTTTCTGGAAGCCTCTAAGTTATGGTTGGAGGCTGAGAGTGTTTTCCGCAAGAATTGTTGCATATTTTGTTCTAGTACTGGTTTATGCAAGTCTGATGTTTGCAACGCTTTGCAGATGTCTACTATGTTCTAACATGAGGACATGAGGAAAAGACAATTATTAGTCTTTATTGTTCATCAGTAATGGTAGTATTAAAATACATGCTAAAAGACATATATACTTTATCATGAATGTAAACCAATGGACTTATGCTTCATTGTCTAAATAAAGCGCCTGTGGGTTTTGGTTAGTTTCAGTAAGGTTTTACTGTCTAACCTGAGCTTAATAAGCTGATTCTTGCTGACTTAAGTATCTTGTTTGCTCTGTATCATGCTGAAAACAGCCCTCTTCAGTTTTAAATAGCTTCGGTTCTCCTTGACAACTTTTATACTGTGTTTGTGCTTTCAGTACTACTGGTGGTAAACTAAGCTGAGGATCGCAATCATAGTTGTGTACTTAGTAAATCTCATTCATATTTGTTGAAAGATGCATGTAAGAGTTGGCATATATTGAAAGCATGTAGCGCTTGCAGATCTCTAAATTATGCATGGAGATCACTAGTTGTATTAAAAAGTGCTAGTTAAGTATTAGCATTAGAAACTGTGTACTTTTCTGTGTCTGTAAGACAACCCTTTCTTCAGGCAGTATTTGGCATTTAAGCTAGACACAGAAGCTTGGTATGAGCTACTTCACTGTCTGAGGGTGAATGTCTTGCACAGAACTGTGTTCTCAAGCTTTTATGAAGGTGTTGCTAGGTTTGATGGCAACTAGTTGTGTGTAGAGCTTTGTAATATTCCATTTAAGTAAATATTAAGCATAGTAACTTAATAAAGGTGCTTGACCTGTGAAGACGACTCTTCTTTTGAGTATCAAAATAGCAAAGTTCTCCTTAAAGCACGTAACACAGTTTTGTAAGATGCATATTTTTTAAAATGTAGTTGCACTAGGCAGAACGGTACAGAATTTCATATCGTGTTTCTTTTGCTGGGAGACATTGGCTTGTTTTGGTGTTTTAGAAAAGTAAGTTTGATACACAAGCACCAGTTTTAGTGTCTATGAATGAAGAGAGATCAAAGCCAAGGGGTCCTCCTGTCACTGGTGCTTGCAATCAGCATGTGACTTCTAGTATACCAGTGTATACTCTAATGCTACTGGATTGCATTTAAGGTACTTTCTTTAGCGCCTATAAAGATAATGACTTGCCAAATAGCTGGTTCCTTTTTCAAATCGGCAAAGTAGGGCTCAGTAAAATAGGTAGGCGTGATAGGCTATAACCCTGATTGAGCAGGGATGTGAGTGAGCAGTCTCTATTAATCTCTGATCACTTTGGCTTTTGCAGCTCCCCATCTTGTTCAATTTTTCCTTCTCTTTTCGCTTGCTGCTGCTTACGGTTGCCTGGCTTTGAGTTGGTTGGCAAGACACCCAGATTCCTCAGAGGAGTAGGCAGAGAGGACACTGAAAGGACAGATGATGACTTCTCCATTCCTTATTGGTAACTAAGGCATACCTCCCAAACCTGTCTGCTCTAGCCAGTCTGTGGCAGATTGTT